CTTCTTCTTCTTCTTCTACTACTACTACTACTACTACTACTACTACTACTACTACTACTACTACTACTACTACTACTACTCTTCCCAGCAAACCCCATTCCCTTCTAGTACTGATGATGTTCCCTAGTGTAGATGATGAAACATCTGCAAGAAAACAATCAAGCTCAGAGAGCACCAAGGACCCAACAATCTTCCTCCTCCTCCTCTTCACAAACCTCACTCCCTTCTAGCACTGATGATGTTGCCTTGTCTGGTAATGAAACGTCTGCAAGAAAGCCACCAAGCTCAGACAGCCCCTAAGACCTGACAATCCAATCCTAACCTACATATGTTCTCTACAGTATAGCTGCCTCCTCTAATAGGGCATTCCCTGTTAGGTAATGGTGATGGTATGATGGATGAAATAGCATCATGTTGTGGTGGCACAAGCTTCACCCCTTCTGTACTCGCTTTATATTGCGTCTTATTTCCCCAGTTGCACAAATTTTGGATATTATGGAAAACACCAAGGAGATTGCAGCCAAAGGCTTACATGCTTTGTGTTTTTTTTTCCATTTCGGGGTGGTTCAAAAGTGAGTTAATTGTTCAGTTGTAAATTTTATATTTCCTGTAATGTTTAATTCTTCAATTCCAGAGTCAGTAAGACATGTGTGACTTTTATTTATTTTTTCCTTTTGTAGATGACATTTAATTGGGGGCTGCTCTTATGATCTGAAATGGAAAAATGTTTGGGCAAATAATAAAACAAGTGTCAACCCTGAAGCTGAACCCTGACAACAATTGAAATGCTAAAATGTCTTGCAATTATATTTTGGTTTTTTAGCTATGGACTCCCAACCATCCTTTAGACCAGATCAGCATTACGACCCAGCAGTGTTGCAAAACAGACTTGGGGAAATGTATATATGTATTTATTAAACTTATTGGCCGCCCATCTTACCACAAGATAATTCTGGGCGGCTTACAATATTAAAAAGCTAAATCTGTATACCGTATTTTTTGGAGTATAAGATGCACTTTTCCCTAAAAGAGCGTGGAAATGTTAGTGCATCTTATACACCAAATACAGCCATTTTTGGCCTATTGAAGCCCCACCTCCGCATCCAATTTTTGTGAAAAATGGGTGAAAAACGGCCCATTTTTCACCAACACGGGGGTGTTTTTGCCTTCCCTCACTCCCCCCCCCCCCCCCCCCCCCCC